TGTAGCAACTCGAGGTTTGAATTTGCTCTTCAGTTCCTTGAGCTTAAGAAATGCTGAACGAGTTCGGCCCTTTTGATTTTCCAACTCTAGCTCCTCGCACATTTCATTGTAGTATTTTGCTTTAGTCAAAAAATAGAAGGCAAGAAATCTGTTCCAGCTAGGATGTTCATTGTGGGTCCAAGGAAGTGTGTGGCAATCTGTATGTCGTTTTCACTTAAAAACAACAAAACAAATAAACATATATTCTAGACCATTAAATGTAAGGCTTTATTTTTCAAATATTCCGAAATTTTATTTTTCAGTAATTTAACCACTATCTAGGTTTCCCTGTAACACAGACATGTTTCTATCCCAAAATGGAAGGCTCTGTTGCAGGACAGAACTAGAAACAATGCCACTAACCCAGCCTATCAAACCACTACAGTAAATTATCATGCTATCCCCTATAAGCACCCAACCACCAATTCTTCTACTTTTTTTCTAAGAGTGTTTGTAAAGTTTCTTTTCAGAAAGCCAAAGTACTTGTTCAACAAAACTAACAGTTCTAACATGCTGCAAACCATTACTTCACAACTAAAGCTTAATCTTAATATGAATGTATGCAACTTATTTTCATTCATGTAAAATGTCCACAAGAAGCCTGCAATAATAAAGATAAATAAGTATTTTGATACAAGTACTCAAATAGCACTACAGTACATCTTTGACAAAATTTTTATAATATTACAACTTTCAATATGAAACAGTTTAAAATGGCATGAACAAAAAATATTCTATTATCACTTAGGCAAATAAAGTGTCATAATCATTCAAGCACACCACTGTTATAAGTCTCCTTGTCATTTGGAAAAGGTATATATGACATATCCTTCACATAAATTTACATAAATAGCTTAGGAATATTCCAAAACACACAATTTCAAATATCAAAAAAGTGTTATCCAAGTATTCTTGGAAAAATTGTCTAATTACTTCTTGCTTTTATGCAATAGAAATTCTTGAGAAATTTGCACAAAGCAAATCCTAAATATCATAAGCTTCCTTATACCACTGGAACATATTTCTAAAACACCTGTGAGAAATTCTTCAACAAAGCAAGTTAATTATCTTTTACTTTAGCAAGGTGCCTCTAACTGAATACTTGGGGGTGGGGAGGAAAGGCACATTTGCACATTGGCGGGCATTTTACTTATATTGTCTCTGTAAACTAAAGCCAAGTTGCTTAGATTTCACTTACATAAGAAAATAAATGGAAATAGATCACTGCACCTACCCTTAAATTGTATTCATTTATTGACATTCTCAATAATGGGTTTTTCACAATATTTAAGTGTGCGCAGATAAATATCCATTTATTCTTCCTTTAATAGATATATTATTTCAAAAAATTGCCATTAATGATTTCATATATATACACACACACACACACACATATACATATATATGCAAATATGTGACTGAGATAATTTTTTAATTTTACTTCTATTACTACTATTCATGCCAACAAGTCAGAATTGACTCACAGTTGACCTTCGAGCAAACTTCTCAGGCTGCATGTCTCACTGATGGATTGGAACTGCCAGAGTCAAGGTCTTTGGGTTGGCAGTGCAATACCTTACCAATTATAACTAAATACTGTCCAACTCCTGACAGTTCTGCTAAGAATGTTAGCCTCAACAATATGAGCATCTTATTTCTGCCTGGGAAACAACAACAAAATTAGTAAGGATCCAAATGACATTTTTAAACATTACAGAAATAAACATTAAGGCCACATCATTGCTATTAGAGAAAATGTAACATTATAGCCATAATTAAGTCATCAAAATCGGAGAGTGATTAAATGTTTTACTCAAGTGATTAAGTCTTATAGGGATGCAGGTCTCTCTGTGTCCTAAGTCTACAACCACTGCTGTCAATCATTAGAGAACAAATACATAAGTTATTCCTCTGATCATAAAACCATACATATATTATTTTTAAAAATTATGGCACTTGGAAAATGTTCCTGTCAAGTGAACATGGTTAATATAGCTAGGGAAATTCTGCCCTCTACTTTTAAAATTCTTCTGGGAAAAATAGCAGCTTAAGGGAAAGCAAAACTATCTCATTACCCAAGGTAAAGGAGGTGAAACTACCATATAATTCTAAGGAGGCTTTGAAGACATTTTCACTTTTATTACCTCTCTGTACTTTAAAAAAGCTCACAAGAAAAATCTGCACTGGAATCTGAGTTGCAAGTGGACAAATTATGCTTTCAACATTAAGGATCAAATAAATGAAGTACTATGGGTCTGCTAATTGCAGCTAAATACCAAGTTTTATCTCTCAGTCTTCTGAGTATAAAGGGCATGGCATGCCTTATGGAACAATTATTTTTAAAAATATAAAGCCAAATCACTGATACATCATGGATTTATAACACTTTCATATAGCCAAAGTATTTTGCTTATAATATCCAACTAAAATGCCAACTTTACAGCATGAGACCATGTTCAAATTAACTTGGCAAACCCTAAAAATTAGTTTTTGGCATATTACCACATCATGCAGGGCAAGCAACTACTTATATAATCAGTCTAATGTTAGCCTTTGATGAGAATTTATTTTAAATAAAGGCTTTAAGAACATGACCACCACTGACCACAAATGTTAATGACTGCCATTACATGTCTGAATTTAAGACCATTTCCTTTTGTGGTCGCTCTTTAAAGTGAGTAAGTTGATGTCTCTTCCAGTGAGGAGCCTGTCTGAATGTTTTGCCACAAACTGAGCATTCAAATGGCTTCTGTCCTGCGTGAATTAAGTAGTGTCTTTCTAGCTTAGATGGAGATCTGAAGCTTTTAGAACAAACACTACATCGATAAAGGAGGCCATCATTCTTCTCATTACATCCTGAAAAGCTGCTACAATGACTTTGATTCTGCTCCGATTCCAGGAGTGCACTGGAGAGCGAAGGCTGTCTATTCTTACAGTGGGTCCCAAGAATTTTATCTTCTGATCCTTCCTTAACTTTTACTTCAGTTATTTGATCTGACTCTGAGAATCCATATTTTTGAAAGCCAAGAGACTGATATTGCTGGGAAGCATTACCATTATCACCTGGATGATTGAAAAATTTGCTCATATTTTCAAATTCTATTTGACAAAGAGATCGTCTGTAAGGGATTTTTTCCATATGAGTTAATTTATGTCTTTTTAAGTGAGCTGACTGCCTAAAAGATTTCCCACAAACACTGCAGCCAAAAGGCCGCTGTCCAGTATGAATTAAATAGTGTCTTTGTAGTTTGGATACAGAAGGAAATACTTTCTCACATTTGTCACAAGCACACAGTTTATGCCCAGTATGTATGTTTTCACTTGGAACTGGAAAACCACACTGTAGCATTTTACAGTTATCAAAGAATTCCTCACCTGATGAACCATACTCAGACATGCCTTTATGACTCAATGAATTATCCATAGTCAACATGCTTTCTGTTGTAAAGACACCTTTCAAGCTTTTCCCTGTGTTTTGGCTTTGAAACTGCTTTTGCCAAGAAAATGGCAAAGTCAATGTTTTTTTCTTTTTATTGCCAACAGTCTTATATGTTCCATGTTTGCCAAGAGAACCCATGAATGTTCTCTGAGTTGGTCCAGTGCTTTGCTCACCAGAAATAAGATCACTATTTTTCAAGAAACTAGTTCTAAATACTTTTTTCTCAGATTGAAAGTTTTCCAATTTCTTACCACCACCACGTTTATGTTTGGCCAAGATTTTCTTAACAACAGTTTTATAGTGGTAGCTTCCTTTAAGCTGGCTTGGAATTTTGCCCCTTCTGGCAGGAAAACACTTGTGTCCATTGAGAATCTGCTCAGATTCAAAACACTCTTCACACTCTGAACATTGAAAAGGAACTATATAAATACAGTGGACATCAAGTGGATTATTCTCCTCAGAGTCACCCCTATCACCACTTTCAAAACTCTCTTGCTTTGCCTTTAATTTATTAGGTAGGGGGCATAGTTCTGGATTCTTTACTTTTAATGAAAGAGTTTGAAAAGTTTTATTCTTGGTGTGAATTTGTTTATGCTTCAGAAGTTTGCTTTGAATCTTAAATCCTTTTTGACAAAAACAACATTGAAAAGGCCTTTCTTCTGAATGTGTGAGTTGGTGGATTTTCAAATGAGTTGACTGTCGGAAAGACTTACTGCATAAGACACACTGAAAAGGTCTCTGGCCTGTGTGAATGAGTGCATGCCTGTCAAGTTTTGATTGTGATGGAAACAACTTGCCACAGGCTGCACATGCGTGAATATTCTTTCTTCTCTTTGTAGGCTTATATGTAGGTTCAGGCTCCTCTGTAGGAAAAGTTCTATATACTCCATAAACTGGCTTTTCTTGCTTGGCCTCCATCAACCTTCTCACCGGCTTAACATCCTTCTCGTAGGTTTCATTGTGCAATTGCTGGTGTTTCACAAATGTTTTCAGATTTTTAAAGTGGCGTTGACAAATATTACATTTAAAAGGTAGATTATGAGTTAATTGATGTCTCTCCAGATGAACAAGTTGCCTAAAAGCTTTATGACACACTTTACATTCAAATGGCTTTTGACCAGTATGAATAAGATAATGTCTTGCTAATTTTGATGGTGTTTCAAAGTGCTTGAAGCAAATATTGCAAATATAAGGCCTGTTTCTAGGTAGCTTGTTGGCTGCTACACACTGTTGAATCTTCAGCATTTTTAAGTTGTTTTCAGCCATCTCACTGATCAGTGATACATACTGATGAGCTTCATTGCTTTCTTAAATTCCATAGGTGTCTAAAAATTAAAAATAAAGATTTATTAATTTAAGAATTATTATTTGTATGAAAAGAAATAATTTGTAATCCTTTGGACTAAGATGTTAAGGATAAAGTAGAATGTGGATTAATTTTTGAAAAATACTTTAGAATTAAAAACTAATTTCATTCAGAAAAATCTGTCTTTTAAAGAAATATCTGAAAACCTACTATTTTAAACCAAGAGTCTAATGGAGCTGCTATATTAAAAAGGGGACCCTTAGTGTACTATTTTGTAGATTTATATCTATTTAGCTGCTTAAAAAAGTAATAACTGGGATAGAAAGAAAAAATATAAGAATTAATCTCTAAAAATAATATACAGTTATATTCAAGGACACCACACTAAGGTCATGATCTGAGGAGAAATATGTTTCATTTACCACAGTTGGATTTTCCTTGCCCCATTAACACTGTTTATTCTCAATTATTGCTGCTTTAGATCTACAAAGACAACATGGACAACTGGGAGAAAATATCCCAGATGATCTGAGTTTCAAGTATTGAATTTGTCACTTTTTGATCATGATTAACAGGAAGATGGAAAGAAAGAAGATTCTTCATCTATTAAATTTCTCTTGGTCTTCCTACCACACCAGGCTGTTATAAGAATCAAAGAAGATATGAGGGGGCTAGAATATGAGAGGCTAGCATATGAGAAGTCTAGAAAACTGTAAGGCAATATATAAATGTAAGGAATAGTATTTGCTCAACACTAATCAAATTCTAAAACTTTATCCCTATTTAGTAACATGTTTAGAGGTTCTAAGAGATTATTATACTGACTAAATGTGCAGGTTTACTTATTTTTATTCCACTTATTGTGGAATTCCTAAAATTCTATAGTGATGTAACAAAATAGAGAAAGAGCTAAATAACTGAAACCTAACTAAGTTCACTTCTCAAATACCATAATTAATACAAAGATCATTTGGGTTTCAGAATTCATACAAAGTTTAAAATGCCTTCCTTATTTATCTTTGTACATAGGGCAAATAAAAAAATTTTACCAAATAAGTTCCCAGAACACTTGACTGTGCTTATGCGAAACCTATACTTGGACCAGGAAGCAGTCCTTAAAACACTGCATGGTTCAAAATCAGGAAAGGAATGTGTCAGGGATGCATCCCTCTCCATCTATATGGAGAACAGATCATTCAGGAATAGAGCTTTATGAGGAGGAAGGTGGCATCAGGATTGAAGTAAGACTCATCAACAACTTACATTATGCAGATGACAGAACCTTGCTTGCTGAAACTAAAGAGGACCTGAATCACTTGCTGCAGAGGTCAAGGACTGTAGTCTTCAATATGGATTAAAGCTCAACATCAAGAAGACAAAGATTCTCACCCCTGGGTCAACTGGCAGAACCATGATAGATGGAGAAGAGAATGACATTGTTAACAATTACAGCTTGCTCAGCTCCACAATAAACACTCTTGGCACCAGCAGTCAGTAAATCAAAAGAGGAATTGCATGGGGAAAATCTCTGATCCGGTACCTCTCCTGAGTACTGAAAAGCAACACTGTCAGTCTAGAGACTAAGGTGCACCTAATCTAGGCCATGGTCTTCACAATTACTTGCTGTGGATCAGAGAGCCGGACAATGACTAAAGGATGACAGAAGAATCGATGCCTTCAAGTTGTGGTGCTGGAGTAGAGTCTTGAACATACCATGGACTTCCAAGAAAACAGTGGTCTGTCTTGGAAAGGGTGTAGTAACCAAGTTTTTCTTTAGAGACTAGGATTTTGAAGTATCTCACATACTTTGTGCATGTGGCCAGGAGAGACTGGTCCTTAAAGAAGGGTATGCTCAGAAGGATGGAGGGACAGAGCGCAGGAGACGAAGACCCTGGATGAGATGGACTAATACAGTAACTGGGGCAACGGGAGTTGGTGAATTAGTGAGTCTGGCTCAGGACAGGGCAAGGTTCAGAGATGCTGTACATAGGGTCACTGAGGGTCACGGGCGACTTGACAGCCATACAACAAGTTCAAATACATCCTACCTTCTTTTATCTGAGAAGTCAATTTTCTTCTCATCCTTCCTTTACTACTATAGTGTTTTGTGTGGGGGGTTTTTTTTGTTGTTATTTTTTGGGGGGGTTTTAACTGCACTTGTTCTTACGAAGTTATAGATTAAAAGAAGAAATGTTCTAGTTTGTTCGATTTAATATTCTACTTTTAGGTGAACTCAGAGTTGACAAGTCTACTAGAAACTTGCGGTTCCCTTGCCAAATGATTGGGCAAATATCTAACCCACAAGTTATTTACAGTCTTTTCTTAGATAATACCTTAAAAACAAAACACACCACTGTCATCCTCTTCAGCAATTAGAATAACAAGGCAAAAAAAAAACAACCCTATAATTTATGTAATGCTGATAATAGCATACTACTTCACACAACCCTAGACTGAGAACTCCTAATAAATCAGCAATATTGATGGACAAAATCTTGAATGATGCAGGAAGCATGGGAAAAAATATGGTACCAAAAAGAACTGGCTGACACAGAACCATTCATGAAGGAGCACGCCAGGTTGCACCTTCTTTTGACAATTTTTGTTATGCCATCTTGCTTTAATTGAAAAACTCACATATTTTTGCTAACTGAAAGAAACCTCAAGAAGACTTTAGCTATTAGAAGAAAAAAAAATAATGGAGCAAAAAGTCAAACTAGCCTTCAGTATTTGTTTTGCAGTGAACCATGAAAACGGCATCCTCTATCCTGAATGCCTAGAAATGCTTTGACAAGCGACTTTCCCTGGCACCACACTAAGCATTGAACCATAAAGTCACTGTAGTTTTGAACTGTGTCTGTGAATGTTACTTTAGGTTTATGTATTTCTACTTATTCTTAAGTAGTAAGTTTTAATTATGTGCCGATCTTCAAAATTATTCAAATAAGTTAATCACATCCTCCTGCAAAACTAAGGGCATCCTTCCCTCTTGATTGTGTCCTTCAGCACGTGGTTCTTTATTCTATTCCTAAGTGCAACCCCTGTGTGGTTCTGTATGGTGTTTTTCTTCCTTGAGCTGTGAGTTTAGGTGACTAATAAACTATCTTGATCTCATCTGTTCAATGGTATTATGTGTTCAGCCCTCTCCAAAACCATTTACTGACATCATGTTGATTCTGACTGACAGTGACCCTCCAATTGGGTTTCCAAGAATGTAAATCTTTGCAGCAAACTGCCCATCTTTCTTCCAAGGAGACATTTGTTGTTATGTACCGTCAAGTCGCCTGTGACTGATAGCGACCTATGTACAGCAGCTCTGAAGCCTGCTCTGTGATTGCAACACGCCTACCCCCAGTGCCCCAGCTACTGTATTAGTCCATCTCATCAGGGGTTTTCTCTCCTGCGCTGGCCCTTCACGCTTCCAAGAATGATGTCCTTCTCTAAGGATTGATCCCTCCTGGCCACATGACCAAAGTATGTGAAATACTTCCAAATCCTAGCCTCCAAGGAAAAACTTGGTTGCACCCTCTCCAAGACAAACCCATCTGAATCAAAGTGGTGAAAAGTTATTCAATTAAGATCTCCATGAAGAGGTCTCCATAGAGGTCCCTGGGGAATGCCTCCCATATAGGGATTCTTCTAAATGGAGGCACTAGAACCATGAATACAGATATGCTTTTAAGCATGGCTGGGGGTAGCAGGGGAATAGGGGGGAGTCCTTATCAGATACTCCCTACAGAAAATTGCAGTATACTGGCTATACACCAAGTCTAATATGAGGAACACAGCTTCTGACTGTGCTTTAAAATTGCCTAATAATCTCACATTAGGCCTGAAAGATCACCACAGAATTTGGGTCTAGGGCTAGATAGTTCAATTCCTATTCTATGTCTCTCTTCCCTTTAACTTTCTGTGTTGTTACGTGCCATCGAGTCGTTTGCGACTCACAGCGACCCTATGTACAACAGCCCTAAACCCTGCTCTATCCTGTGCCAATCTCATTGCCTCTGACACACCCATCCCGATTACCCCAGTCACTGAATCAATCCACCTCATAGAGGGTCTTCCCCTCCTGTGCTATCCCTCCACGCTACCCAGCATGATGCCCCTCTCTAAAGACCTGCTCCTTACAACATGTCCAAAGTACATCAGGCGAAGCCCCAGAATCCTTGCCTCCAAGGAGCAGCCTGGTTTAACCCTCTCCAGGCTGAATCTATTTGTTTTCTTGGCAGTCCATAGTACATTCAGTACTCTTCTCCAGCACCACAGCTCAAAGGCGTCAATTCTCCTTCTATCCTCCCTAGTCATTGTCCAACTCTCTGATGCATGACAAGTGATTGCAAAAACCATGGCCTGTATCAGGCGCACCTTAGTCTTAACTTTCTGTAGAACTCCTAAAAATAATAATCCCACACTAGATACTACGTATGTGATGACTATTTTTTATTATAACAGGTATCGGTCACCAATAACTCCTGTGCCAAAAACAGCCACTAGGACAAAGTTACAATGCCATAACTCCTAACCCTTGGGCAGAGTTTTGTTGTTATGTACCATCAAGTCGCTTGCAACTCATAGCGACCCTATGTACAAGAGCCCTGAACTCTGTTCTATCCTGTGCCAACCTCGCCATCTCAAACACACTCATTCCCACCACTCCACTCACAGAATCGATCCATCTCATCGAGGGTCTTTCTCTCCTGCGCCTTCGCTCCACTCTCCCAAGCATGATATCCCTCTCCAAGAACCAGTCCCTCCCTGCAACATGCCCAAAGTATGTCAGATGAAGCTTCAGAATCCTTGACTCCAGGGAGCATTCTGGCTTCACCCTCTCCAGTACAAACCTGTTTGTTCTCCTAGCAGTCCATGGTATATTCAACACTCTTCTCCAGCACCACAGCTCAAAGGCATCAATCCTCTTTCTATCATCCCTATTCACTGTCCAACTCTCCAATGCATA